TTTCTTAACTTTTAAATGCAATCGAGATTTCAAACTGCGCCATACTATCACGCTCAATAGTTGTTCAAAAAGGTTCCAAACGTCAAGGCTTCAGTAAACATTTTATGGTAGATATGTGGAGAACATTTCAAAAGCTGACGCATCGGTTACAACAATGATTATGGATACGTCTTTTGCTACAGAGGTTCAGGACAGTTTGGCAAAGATGAAGGCAAATATCATCAGAAGTCATTTGTGCACAAACGGATTTATTTCGAGGATCTATCATTCCGCAAATAATAAAAATAGTTCAACATGATTCATATCAGCCAATGGAGGAAGAAAATACTTTTGTCTATTGTTGTGTTTTGATGCTGAGTTTTGTTTTGTTTTGTTTTATGGCATAAACAACCTAAGTCTGACATACGTCGTTTTGTATGTATCCTTTTTCGGGTGAACGGTTGACCTTGCTGTACATGTTTTCAGCATTATTACCATTTGATAGTGTTTCATACATACATGCCAGCCCGTGGTATATCGGAATCGTACAGTCGATCCTGCTGTTGGCAGAGATTTGTATGATCATTGCCAAGTTGCTATTATGCTATAAAGTGGAAGCAACACAGACAGAGAACAAGGGTAGTGTAAAGACGGCATGCCTTGGTTATTGTGGATCCATTCAACGTTTCATTGAAGTTGTTTCAGAGTAGTTATCGCCCTGATGAACTGATATAGCTTGCATCATAGCTGGCCTCAGACATCTCCGTATAACACGTTTCTGATATTTGTGAGATTGTTGCCTGATCCAGAGAGGCGTATGGTTCTTCACGCGTCGTTTCTAACGCTTTGATTTTCATCTGCAGCCTGAAAGGTGCAAAGTGAAATATTAATTCAATATTTCAATGAGTCATGAAATGGTAACATCATGAGCAAAAGAGAACTCTTTCGTTTAACTAGATCTTCTATTTGCATGTGAATAGACTGACCTACATAAGCATCCAGCAAGGGTTGCAGGTGATGTAAAACAGGAAGTCGCCACCTGCGATGTCGTCGAGAATGAGGTTTTAGATTCATGTTAAATAGGATGACAACTGTTTCAGATTATTTGTGTGCAGTCTGATGTCATAACTAAAGAACACATACGGATTCAAGGACAGAATAGGATTGCTGAAAGAACATATTTCAGTTAGGAACGACTGAAGTGGATATTGGGTGTTATTTGCCTTATGTTCTCTCTCCGATTACGATGTCACCACTCGGTGGTTCTATGGACAGCTGTTCACAACATTTTTCTAATACTCTTCAGTCTTCACACTCTTCACATACACTAATAATCAACAATTATAGTTCTGTAAATCTTTCCACAATCACAACACATTTCTTTATTCTATACATTTCATACTACATGTCTGTCTGATAAATAATCGGCGTTAACTGGACATACATTAGATATACAGGGAATAATATAAATTTGTACAAAAATCGAAAATTAGGAATGGAACAGTTACTGTACTGAACTTAATTTCAAGGGGTAGAGCTGAATAGGGTACTTCGCGAGACCTTAGTATTCCCGTACATTTGGTCCGCTCTAGTAAAGTCATATTAGGCGGTCGTGCAGTTTGAAACCAGGACCGGTTCTTGAATATACGCTTGTCACCGGAAATCCAGTAGTGGAAGTAAGCTGGATTCCGTCTCTCACATCGCAAGTTGGTGCCGGGAACCGGGTTAGTATCGGAAGTAGCGCCTCGCGAGACTTACATGCCCTATGGACATTGCTGTTCAAATGTGAGTGAGTGAGTATGGCTGTACGCCGCTTTTAGCAATATTCAAGTAATATCATGGCGGGGGACACCAGAAATGGACCTTACACCTTGTACGCATGTGGAGAATCGAATCCGGGCTTTCGGCCACTAGGCTACCCCACAGCCCCTGTTGAAATGTCATTTCTGTCAGCGACATGCACCGGCATGTTTGAATCCGGCTTGTTGACAAACAATGAAAAGACAATAGACAGTATCATACATTTTGAGATAGTTCAGAGATAGAGGAATTTCTTGTACATTTCTGGACATTAGATAGACTGTACACATGTCTTTTTTGTCCCGTATTATAGATCTTGAAAGAAACAGAACATTTTAACTCTCCCATTCAATAAACGCTCGGTAGACAAATCTAAGCTGTTACTCACCTTCTGATCCACAGAGAAGCCACCAACACAATGATCAATATGACAACTCCACATGAAATTGCAACTGCTAAAGTTATGGGACTAGAAGCTCGTGGGTCAGTATTTATGGCGCGGGCTGAAAATGCAATGTTGACAATTAACTGATTTGCAAACATGTAAGGACGTTACATGCAACCTATTTCCAAAGACACAACAAAATGTAGTGGCTGGGCAAATTACGAATTCTCACCCTTGGTCAATCGCCAAGTTCAAATCTATTGGAATTAGGAAACGTAAAATATTGAAATACACAATGCCATTTGGAAAGTGGTGAAATGTAACATAGTGTAATCCCAAATATAACATATATTATATAAAATATTGAGGACAATCCCTCAAATTTGCACACTGTAACAATCGTCATAACAATACTGAGCAGTTTTAGTGGAATCTATGCTTGAATGTGCACTTTACTCAGATGGTTAAATATAAAATGGTTTATTGTAATATTTATGAAATCTAGATAAAACATTTAGTTGATATAGGGACATTGCTTCATTAATAATACGTTTTCATCTCCAGATATTCAGAAAAAACCTTTGTACAAGAACAAATTTAATTTTTTGTTGGCCTAATGCGTGCTTTTGCTTAACAAAGAATAATAAAAACCATCTGCGTTGTTGTATTGTCAACAATGAATGCTATGTTCGGAAAGTTATATGATCAGATACCTGTAAGCTTGGTTTTTACGGTGGGATTGTCAGGTGCTAAAATTAAAGAAATACTCATCCCCTTTTACGATTTTCCTCACTTGTCGTTGAAAATACACTGTATCCTTGTTTATTGGATATTCTGTACGTACGTGTCTGACAATTTGCGCCGGTGAATCCATGACTGCATCCGCTAGAGCAATGTCCAGTGATCTTGTCACATACTTCCTTGTTATCCAGACAGTGACATCGTTTGTCACAGTAGTCGACAAACCAGCCGTCACTGCAAACTATATAATAAAGATGGTATTGGTCGCCTCAATACACTGAAATAAACACTGAAAAATAGTGTTGAAGATCCACTCTTCCTCACTCGCGAATAGGAGGAGGTCGCTATCTGTGAGTAATCTGGTTGTATATCGTTTGTTCTTTGACTTGATTTTCAAGACTTATTCATCAACAGGCCACTGCGATGAGCGGGAATATTGTTGATAGAGGCAAAAAATAACAAAATTGCATTCCAATGTTGGGCTAGAGTGTGCAAAACATCGTTGGCCCAGCGAAAACATTTACATACAATTGAACTTCAAATCCACATGGTATTAATTCCGCTTTCTCAAATACTTTCTGTGGATATAGGACAATTTCTGCCTTGATAGTATTGAGGATTATGGTTAATCTTTGAGACAGGCATTTTAGTACATTGCAGGACCGAAATTATATCTTTTGGTACGAAAGTTTGTGTTGCTGGGGCGGTGGGGGTACCCTAATGGTTAAAGCGTTGGCTCGCCACACCGAAGACCCGGGTTCGAATCCCACATGGGCACAATGCGTGAAGCCCATTTCTGGTGTCCCCCGCCGTGATGTTGCTGGAATATTGCTAAAAGCGGCGTAAAACCAAACTCAGTCAGTCAGTCAGTTTGTGTTGCTTGGTAATCCAGTACACTTGAGTGAGTGAGTGAGTGAGTTAAGATTTACAGTCACATCGGCAATATCACAGCAATATCGTGACTAAAAGGAACATTTAAATTTACCATAAATATACATAAGTTATGAAAAGTCTGTCAACAAAAGGACAGTAACAACCAATAGAATATCACAGATATGAATCTAAAAGTAGTATTAAATCTGAAGCATGCTAATTGTAGAAAATACAATATAAGAACATGCTGTATATATTGCCAACAACTGAAGGTAGGTCACCATGCTAGGAAGTGTGGGGACTTACGGTACATTTGCTACCTGCATGGACCCTAATAATCCAGTCCAAACGAGGAATGGACATGTCTTCACCATTTAGAATCAAGCCAAACGTTACTAGCACTGATAAATGGTTTGGGAAGATTTATTCCTAAGTTAACATATTGGCTTTACATGAGGCATTTGTTATGTCACTTGTACCAAATTCAAACAGTTTATGCAATGACGTTTACATAAAATGATTGTGTTATTTGAGGCCTGGTTAACAATATAACTTATTTATGAAATATGAACTTGTGAAAGTAGTTGGTAACACCTTAAGAAGAGAAATCAGATGTACATTGTTATTAACTGCTTTTTTGTAGTTATGGATGCTTTTGCTGATATTTGGCTTTAATTGGGTACATACCAAATATCTGCACCTCACACAGAGTCAGAAACTCCTGTGGTGTCCGTATGGTAACTGAGGTTCCTGATAGTGGATGTCTGCAGGTGACGTCTGTGACATAATCAGGTCGTTCAGTTGATGACCAATCGTAGCAGATCTGGTCGTCCACCAGAATCACCATGCCATCATTTCGATTTGGCCCTGTAATCACACACATTTCGTAGAGTTAATATGATAAAAGTCGGTGATAAGTTATTTAGATGTTTCAGTTTGCTAACGTCACAACGTTTATACTTTATTGGCAATTGGACCTGAGATATTGGACGATCTCAAAAAGCATCCATTTCAGGTTCTGCATTTATCTTCATTCTTAAAATGTTGATATAGACGCCACAGTACTCACATGTTGTGCGAAGATAGAGTTTCATGTGGTGTATTTTATCATGGCTGCTTGTATTGAGAAATACAGTCCATGATGGAGTCATGTCTCCACCGTCAGTGTGTGCACATGGACTGTCATTGAAACGATTTGAAACTATTCCATCCACCGCGTAGTCCGCTTTGAGGTTCAGTGGCTGGGACGTTTCAAAAGGTTCATAGTAGACGGAGGTCTGAGTTGCAGGTCTTAGCAGTGCAACGTTTTCTGAGGAAAGAATTAATTTAAACCAGATATATTTGAATAATTTAAATGACCATTATCAATCTAGAGACAATATACATTAACAGATGCATTTCTCATGTATTAACATGAAATAGTGGTATTAAACGTTTAAGAAACTTAAGAATAACCCTGTGAAAATGGTCACGTTCGAATGGTAGGAGAACGTGTTTGATAAACAGACAACAGAAAATATACAGGACATCAGTAGAACAGACACATTTTCCAGGGTCCTCTTACCTATGCTATTCCGTGTAATACATCGCATTGAAAAACCTGTACGACAATGTGTATCTGATGTAGATCATGTGGTTAACTGTTTTGAGCTAGATATGTTTAAACTGTAAGCTACTATCATCATAGCAAACGCATCAAAATCAAAATTCGAAAATATGAGAAATTGGATTTGGAAAGAGAGAATGCATGTGTTTTAAGAAGACAAAATGTGTTTATTGATGATGTCCACATCACTGCTCACGTTTCTGGCAGGTCGGACCGAACCATCCCTTGATGCAACCGCCGTTTCGGCCACAATTGCTTGTGCAGGTACTTGCATTGTAGCAATGGCATTCTCCAACTGCAATAACAAAAATTGTTTCACTTCAAACTCAAGATACAAAATGAGTCACTTCCCCTTCCTTTAAAATCAAGAATCTATGGAACTATAGTCTGTTTACAGTGAAAACGTACCGATGAATTTCACTCTAAACAAAGAGGTAAATCGAATAAAATGAAATTAAGATTGCGAATCCTCATAATTTTACCTTGCCAATTGAACATTCAAATTTCAGAATTTTATTCAACTTAGAATAAAAGTTGTTTAACAAACGATCATAGTTTCAAATCGCTATTATTGGTTTGTATTACAATGGGGTATGCACTTTAAATGAAACATCGAGAACAAGTAGGGTTGGTGTAAGTTAACGATCATCAAGTACCGCACGTGCATTTGCTTCACTGTTCCATCTACTGCGTTCACCCCCTTGTAATACAAACCAATAATAGCGATTTGAATCTATGATCGTTTGTTTAACAACCTTATCCTAAGTTGAGAAAAATGCTCATTTGGCAAGGTAAAATTATGAGGATTCGCAATCTTAATTTCACTTAACTTGATTTATTTTTTTGTTTAAAGTGAAATTCATCGGTACGTTGTCACTGCAAACACACTATAGTCAGCATCATGTTAAAAGTGTTGAAACGGTGTCATATCACGGCACATTAAAAGGTCAGACATAGAAGTGAATGGTTTTATCGTGGCGGCACCGGGGCAGTAATGTTTTATGTGCAAAGCATTATACTTTACTAACATCACTATGACATGTGTATTTTATACATTCAACTAAGACATAAGTTAAGAGAAAGCTCTTGAAAGAGGTGCCACATATACTGAAGCACCTTGAAAACGCAAAGAGATTTTTTTGGTATATTTACATAAAAACCAAAAACGTCAACAAACGTGAACGAAGTATCTAACATTTGGGACCCGGATTCGATTCCCACACATGGGTACACCTACTTCTGGTGTCTCCCGCCGTGATATTGCTGGAATATTGCTAAAAGCGGCGTAAAACTAAACTCACCCACTCTAATGTTTAGAATGTTTATTCAAGGCGTGTTTTAGACCTATTGTCCGAGTATAAATCTATTGCCTGTATTTTTTACGCAGACAGAATCGCTAAAACATACCTTCCCCCCGTTACATTGACAACGCTATGTGATCTTGAAAATAGAAATGCACGTGCATTGCCCGAGGTCTCATGCATTTAAGGCAATGGCATCAATGGGACAGAAGCGATTTGAAACAATGCCACGACTGAATTTACAGGAACGGGAACGTGCTTTGGGACTGTTCGATGCAGGGACTTCACAGAGAGCCGTTGCCAGGTGTTTTAATGTCAACCAATCAACCATAAACCGTCTTGTTAGTAGACATCAACAAACAGGAAGCGTTGCAGAACCGTCTTCGACCAGGTCAATTTCCGGTTACAACAGCTAGACAAGACCGACAAATTCGACTGGCGCACCTCCGAGATCGCTTCAGGACGGCAACAGCAGCGAACGCAATTGGCAGACATGGGAGACCAATCCACTCCGTTGCAGTCAGACGGCGCCTTTGACACCCGGGATTACGATCCCAGCGCCCCTAACGTGGTCCAAATTGCAGCCCCGACACCGTCAGGGTCGGCGCCGATTTGCGCTGCAGTATGGACGTCGACCACGGCTTTTCTTCCGTAGAATTATGTTTTCGGACGAGTCGAGGTACTAAGTTTCCTTTGTTGATGGAAGAGAACGAGTTTATCGGCGATTATCGGTGAACGTTACGCCAATGTATGTGTCAGACAGCGAGATCGATTCGGCGGTGGCTGTGTGATGGTTTTAGGAGCGATCTGCACGTTATTCAGGACAATCGCACAGCACAGCGCGATGTGGATGAAATTCTCACGCCTGAATTCCATTGCTGAGCCGTCACCAACGACGTCCAGCATGATAACGCCCGCCCCCATGCAGCAAGAGTGGACCAAGCCTTTCTTTAGTAAACTGGAATCATTGTGATAGACTTAAACCCGATTGAACACTTGTGGGATGAACGTGGGAGGCGAGTTTACAGACGTCAGCCACCGCCAGCCAACGTTGCAGAATCGACCTTGGCTCTGCAACAAGAATGGAGGAACATTCCTATTTCCTTTATCACTCGTCTCTTTGACTCCATGGCCCAACGTATCCATGCCTGTGCCAGAGCTGATGGAGGCGACACGAGATACTGACTGTGATAACGGGGGTGCCTCAGCTTGGAAGACGTGTGCGTGTCCTGCCGACAACAATCCATTTCTTCTTCAACAGGCTGAATGCTTATTCTATGTGCTTTTTCATAAATAATAACAACTGTTTTCGTCTTATGTTTTGTTTTATTTTGTTATCATATCAAACTCCGTTATGCGTTTTCAAAGTGTCTCAGTATGCATTACACGTTGCCATATTTGCATTATAATACAGCTGCATGAAATTCATGTTCAAAATGAAGAAAACAAACAATAATAATATCTCACCAACTACTGTGAACAGCAAGAACAGCACAACCACATAGAGCAGCCACATTGCGTTTTGTACCTGTACAGCATACATAGATGAGAAACAAAATACTTCAATTCAGGAATCACAGTCACAATTCAGTTGAAGTTAAACTTCGTTGAGTGCGGAGAGTAGTTGGATGGGTGACCATGTTTGGCAGGTTGACTCTAGAGAGTTTCTTACCTTGTAGTGCCCCACAACGAAGCACATGTGATACATGTGGTCTCACCTTAGGCAAGTGGGATGGCTCAAAATTGCCTCTGTTCACCCAGCTGGATGTGGGTACCCGGTGGGTTAAGTGACTATTAACCTTATTGCGCCTCACATAAGCTTGGGTTATCCGAGGTAATCATGCGTTAAACAGGTTAAACAGGGTGCAAGTACCATTGAAAAGTCGCCCTATACAATAAACAAGAAGTTGTAATCCATATAGTCTTTTGTGTTATTATTGACTCAACAACTTCCAGATTGCTGACCAAACAACTCGATATACATGTAGCTGCTTGTTACTATCAAACAGCACATTTAACGGAATCAGATTTAATCATACCACGGAGCACAACCATCCAAGCCATCCTGGAAGTCTAAAAATGTTTCGCAAGTCTAAATCAAAAAAAGAGAGGAGATAACATCGATCTGTCTCAATAAATTAGGATATCCAATAACGATTTTATTTGGACAAAAATCCGATGACAAAAAAGCGCTATGAAACGTCGTATTTGCGTCGAATGTCCATATACAGTGAAAAAAATAATGTTTTAGACTTTACGTTCTATTGCCATTGCATTTATACTAACATTAAGTGACGTCATAGCAAATTTAAATCATAATGACGTCATAATTTGTCATAGTCATATATATGTCAGAATTGTGAAGGTTCACATAGACAGTGCTAGTGGTTAAACCATTCGCCGAAAACCCGGGTTCGATTCCCTACATGGGTACAATGTTTAAAGCCCATTTCTGGTGTTCCCCGCCTTGATATTGCTGGAATGTTGCTACATTGCGGCACGAAATGACGACAGTCACTCACTCACATCACGTAGACAGTTGCTGATATGTTATTCTGTAATTTAACATAAATGTTGAGCAATGGTACTTTGATTCTGCTACTACAAATATTCCTGAAAAATCAGTTTGATATCTGATATCTATACATATACATACAACGAGAGCATTGGGAATGTGAGTGTCCTCCAACACAAGAAATAAAGATTGGTTGATTAACAAGAGCATTTCACGGACTGAATGACCAATGAATGAAGGTTCACGTTACTCACCTACATGTGTCGTCGAGTGATGTTTGTGGTACGAATTAACTGCTAAATGCCTGTCTAAATTAAATCCCAGCCAGGATTGCCCAACTGATAGAGAGATACTGCATGTTATCTTTTCAGTGAGGAAGGTGATAGGGTATGTCCTTGTCGAACTTAAGGCCGGAAAAATTGTTATCAATGTTGTCTCACATTTGCTATTATGCATGTGAGGAATAATTTTATGACAATTGGGTTAGTAACTGTAACGCGAACCACATTGAATTTACATATGTGACTTCCTCGGTCGATGGTCGCGTGTTTTTTTATGGTATATCGTCAGTATGTTTGATGTTTATTTTCAACTCCTTAATAAATGACCACCTATATTCCATCCTGTGTCCGGGTCTTGAGAAACATTTACAGCAGCATGTATTATCAATTGTTATGTCAAGTTGTTTGTAGACACATTTCAAAAGGGACACCGTGTACCAGGATCTTTTATTAAACTACTATGCCTCAACACGGTGATACATATGTAACTGCATAATTAGGGACCGTTCATAATTTATGGCTAGGGGATTTGATGAAGATTTTTATGGAGAAGCATGTACAATGTAAATGACCCCCCCCTCCCTAAAAATTATGTACAAAGTAAGTGACCCCCCTGCATATCATGTACAACGTCAATTTACCCCCCCTTCCCTATCCATATTTTTAAAACATAATTTTAAAATATTTTTATGTACAAAATTGCTGACCCCTACACGCATGTGTACAAAATCATCATAAATCAACCAATATATGTCATATATGCCTTTTAGCAGAAAATTCTTGTGTCTCTTCATCTAGCCCTTGGAATATTTACCTTGAGGTCTTTCAATGACATTTAGAAGTTATACACATAAGGAAGACAGCTTTTGTCGATGTCAACCTTTTCATTGTGAGGGACGCAACATTTCGGATTAACTGGTGAAGGAGTAAGGCTATACTTCGAAACATTGTGTTCCTCGCAATAAGAAGTTGTCCTCAAAAATAAAACCCTTCCTTAAAATGGTTGTTTGTCTTAACACTTTTGCTGATGGTCTTCTTGTACTTATTGATGGACATAATTGCAGCAACTCAATGTTGATGTCGTATCAGATCTTTGAATGAAAGTTAGAAGTGATACAGATAAGGCAGAGAGATTGTTTGGATGTGAACTTCATTATTATGAGGAACACAACGTTTTGGAGTATATCCTTACCTGATGAAGGAGTAAGGATGTAATCCGAAACGTTGTGATCTTCAAACGTCACTTTAAGTCAAATGATCACAAACAAATTGCAGAAGACAGAGTAAGTGGAAAACATTTACTTAATCGTTCTAGTATCAAATCTTCACAATTCTCCCCCTAGATCCAATCGATAGATATATGGAATAAGGCATCAGCATCCTGAAGCGCATGTGGACCTGCCCCAGACTGAAAAACACAGGTACTTTCTATTTAGGCACGTCACGACCAAATTCACACGAGATATGACCCATACGGAGATAATCCAACCAAATATCTCCTGGTGAAGAGACCACTCTGCGTTCACTTTTATGCATTGTTACCATACACTGTCTATTATTGCTTTCAGCTCCCAAAGAAAATGATGGGCTTCCATTCTTCACCCGGAAGACCACCAAGGCAAACAACCGTGTAGAATCATGTATCAAACCATCTTATGTGATTGTCTCTGTATTTATGCCACCAAAGTTATGCTGACCGTGGTCACCAGGCTCGATGACCAGGGAAAAGGGATGATTACGTAAGAAACTAGTCCCGTCAGGGCGGACGTGATGTTGAGTCTCCTTTTCTTGAATTCCCACCATACTACGCACTGTTAGCCTGTCCATGCCCGTTCCCCATCCCAATTCTATTCTGTAGTGACTGAGTAGTGATTTTGATTGTTTGCCCCTTAAGCAAGAATTCAGCACTATTGTGGAGGGGAACATCAGTAGTGTTTCCCCCAGGCATATTTGGCAGGGCGCAGCGCCCTGCCCTTTTTATTCGGCGCCCTGCCCTTTTCTTTTGGCGCTGTGCCCTTTTCAATCACCGCATTATCTGCCCTTTGAAAAATCCAATATTTTCCGGATTTTAACAAAGGAAGGAGTTAGCTCCCTTCCCGGATGTTTTTGTTGTGCAATAAAACTACCTATTTAAGTCATGGCGATTTCGGCTTTGTTCGTTTTCATTCTGAGTCACAATGCCAACCAAAGAAAGAACAAAGAGGAAAAGAGAAGAAGTTGCGAAGGCTGAAGCAAGGAAGTGTCGTCGACTCGTGGATTTCTTCGCGCCAAACAGGTACGACTTGACAATGACTTCCGCCATTTTATACCGTTAGCGGCAAAATTAGAAAACATTTCCAGCAATAATCTAGGTTCATGTGATCTCTTTGTAGCTAATAAAACATGCCCATTCCGTCTCTGTTATGTTTAAAAATCTTTGCTGTAAATACGTTACGTCCATATCTTATTTTAGTCCTTTTGTGAGTAGAAAATAAAAACGAATGAAACAAAGCAGAGACCATATACGGTATATGGTCTCTGAACAAAGGGAAACCATATCGGACATGATCACTTCAGATTATTCCGAATATTTTTCTTTTCCTTTTCAATGCTTGTCTCAAGTATTTAAAACACAACGGTGATTGTTATCCTCTCTATTATATTACGATTGTGAATAGATTCTAATATGTTTTTTTTACTTTTAGTTTCTCCTTGTTCAGTCGACCTCGCTCTGAAAGAAATCTTTCGGAAGCACGTATTTCTCATTTCGATTTTCTAGATATACACAAACCCCTTTCGTTTGCTATAGTTAATATTTGCACTGGGTATATGTGTTGAAATTTTATTTACTCTTTGTAAATATACGAATTACCGAAGTAATAATTCAACACGAAATAGACACAGGAATCGAAGCCACATCAAACATGTCTATTTTTGAACGTATCTAAGTTTATTTTTTGCACTGCATACATGTAGTTTTTCATATTCTAAAATATCAGTAGAAATACTAAATTAGTTTTTCTATATATTCTTATTTTGAAGTTAGTAGATTTTGTGGTGGGTAAGGTGTCTGCAATGAACAAAGACAATTTTCACCTGTATCCTTATCTAGTCTTAAAGATTTTCAAAATTAAAAATAATTGTTCCAAACTTTTGTGTATATTTATCTGATATTTTACCCTAATTTATCCTCAAATGAAATGTAATAAAAGTGTGAACTGTTTTTTCTGTGTGTGAAAAAGTACTTTCATTAGTACAAGGTATTTTTACTATTCTTCTTTTCTTAATATTCAAAGGATGTTTTCTTATTACCAAATTACAAAATACAATCAATTTTGGCTGGAAATAAAACTGACTTGTATGTGTATTTCAGACCCGATGTAGAAGATTCAGAACTTGTTTGCTATGACATTGACAAGTGGTTGTCATCCAGTGGCCCAGCTCCTCAAACAACTCAGAAGAAGAAAGATGCAGGTCACAAGCTTGTCTTGGAAACAAGGTCGCCCCTGGCTAAAATACATTGAGGATGCAAACGAGGAGGGTGAAACAAGCTCCATGATGTTTTGTTCTCTTTGCACCAAGTGGAATGAAAGGACGAAATGGATCCATGGTTTGGACACAAGTTGGATGTCACATTTTCATATATTGACATACTATTCAAATTGTGCAGATTACTGAACTGGCAGAACACTTTGGCCTGGATGTTGATCAAACACAGCTTGAGTGGAGTCAGGTCAAGGA